ATGGATAATATGCTGCAAATGAAAATCCTCGGGATAGACACGAGGAGTCTTCACGTTCCCACGGGAATACAAAAGTTGGTGATCGATACGAAATTTCACATACAGCAAGTACGGAACGCAGCAGCTAACGATTATCGTAAGCTTGTCGACTTATATTCTTTCTAACAGCTTTTTAATATTAATTTTTTAAATATTCTAACTAATTCTCAAATAAAGAAATATGTTTAACGTAAAAGAAGTATAAATATAAAAAAATACAATATTTATAAATATCTTTCTAGAGCTTCCTGTGCGTGTGTACAAAACCTTCGACGCGGTAGTATCCGGCGGTGTAGAAATTCGCGGAATCAAGGCTACTTCCATATTTCGCCGAAAAACAGCGGGGGAGCCCGTTCTCGAAGAATACAGATCCATAGCTCATCGCGACGGAGCCGAGGTTTCTCTACAAGAAGCCGTGATGCTGTCGACGCATCTCGCTCTGGAGTATCATCAAGTGATAAAAGTAAATATTATCGAATTGATCGAAGATGATGACAAAGTAGAAGCAAATGAAATAGCATCACCACTGTTTATCGATATCTTGGGTGATCTACCGTTGCTTCAACCAAACATTACTCTGGTAACCAGAACCGATCGCTTCGATTGCGTTACTCTTCCTTCGAAAATCACAGTCTCGCAATCGAAGAAGTTGTCGAATGACGATAAGACAATATTAATCATAGGATACGATTTGTTCACGAAGAATAAGAGCAAAACCTTAAAAGAAATTTTGCCGGCGTTACAAAACAATGGATTCTTATTGACACGAGAACAGTCCTTCACGAAAGATGACATTGCGACTGCCGAAAAGTACGATTTAGCAGTAGTACTTGAGAAACGCTCGCAGAAAGAGCACTTTATACTGTTAAAGAAGACAGAACAGTCGACGAGGAAAACTAAAGTTATTCACGTGAACAATTACGAGTTCTCTTGGTTAGAGCAGCTTAAATCGATCTTGAACGCGGAGAACGAGTCAAGAAACGCTGCAAAAATAATTTTAGTCAGCGAGAAAGATTCGGAATGCGGCTTGTTGGGCCTCGTCAATTGCTTGAGAAGAGAACCAGGCGGCGAATTGATTAGAGGAGTGTTTATTCAAGACGAAACTGCACCGGAGTTTTCTTTGCACGAGCCATTATACGCGGAGCAACTTCGGATCGATCTTATTATAAATGTCTTGCGTCCGGGTAAAACATGGGGTTCATACAGACATCTTCCGTTAGCGCCGCTGACACCGAAGCTCGTATACCACGCATTTGCCAATCAATTGGTATAAATGTTTCATAAATAAATAAAAAAAGTTAATTCTTACAGTTCTGTCATAATAAAAAGATATTTCTTAATTAGGTGAGCGGTGATTTGAGTTCATTTCGCTGGATCGAAGGTGCGATTACGCCGCATTATAAGGAGAATAATCTCGTTCACATAGCTTACTCGTCTATCAATTTCAAAGATGTAATGATAGCGTCCGGCAAACTTGTAATAGATGGTTTCTACTTAACGCGCGGACGACTCGAGGATTGTATGGTGGGTATGGAATATGTCGGCGTCGATAATACTGGACAAAGAGTGATGGGAATTTGGGAAAACAGGTACATTACTGTCATGCAATCATTTAAAAGATATACTGTTTATAAAAAAAGTTATCGCACTTTAAAGCAAGCTTTTCTATTGAATAAATTGATATATTTTGTGTTTATATATTGTATATGCATGTGCAATAAGAAGATGAAAAATAATGAAAAAATTATTTATTTAAAAAAATTTCTATCTCAAATGTTGCAGACTTTGTAATGCAACTTGCAATATTTTGTAAAGCCAAGAAAAACGTAAAATTATTTTATTGGAATGCATAAATGTTTTATAAACAGTATTACTGTATTTATTATATTTACTGTAAAATCTACAAGTTATCTATCCTAGATAATCCTGTTTTTTTCTTTAGATATAAAAAATTTTAATTCTTTAATTCACAGATCCATATCAAATATGTGCATATCCTACAAAGACATGTGCTGGAACGTTCCCGATGAGTGGAGCATGGAGGACGCTGCAACGGTTCCATGCGCTTACGAGCACGTGCTGTTACGGATTAATCGTCAAAGCGAATATGAAAAAGAGCGACACGGTACTCATCCACTCCGGTACCGGTGCCGTGGGACAAGCTGCAATTCATCTTGCGCATCACAAAGGTTGCGAGATATTCACCACCGTTGGCACTCCGGAAAAGCGAAAGTTTATCAGAGACACGTTCCCGTTCATCCCAGAGAATCACATTGGAAATTCGCGCGACAACAGTTTTTGAGCAAATGATACTTAGTCAGACCAACGGCCGTGGCGTGGACATTGTATTGAACTCGCTTGCCGAAGAAAAACTCCAGACGTCCATCCGTTGCCTCGCGAAGGGCGGGCGTTTTCTGGAAATCGGCAAATTCGATTTTATGGCCAATAATTTGTTGAATCTGTCCATCCTTTCGAAAGGAATTTCATTTTACAGCGTTATGTTGGATAATATGTTCACAGCTCCGGAAAAACTAAAAGAACAATTGCACAAGGTAGTGACCATAAATCTTGCGAATAAAGCTATTCAACCGATTGCCAGGAAGATTTTCGAAAAGGATGAAGTGGAAGCTGCATTCAGATACATGGCAGCTGGAAAGCATATAGGAAAGGTAGGTCAATTTAACTGGAATTAATTGTGGCTTAATACGCGAGATCAGTTAAGGATAAAACATAATACATCAAATAAAAACTGAGTTAAATGAGTTAACGTATTTTTAGATAATCATAAAAATGCACAAAGAAAATGAATCTATGAGCGCACCCATTCTTGCACTTCCACGTTATTACTGTCTATCAAATAAATCGTACATCATCTTAGGCGGGTTGGGTGGCTTCGGCTTAGAATTAGCCGACTGGCTGGTTGTTCGTGGCGCTCAGAATCTGGTGTTCATCTCGCGTGCCGGAGTAAAAAACGGATATCAGCAGATGAAAATCGATCTATGGAAATCTTATGGAGTGAAAGTGTTAATCATATCGGACGTCGACGTATCGGACGTCAAAGATTGCGAATATATGCTGAAATCGGCGGAAAAATTGGCGCCGGTGGACGCTATATTCAACCTGGCTGTGATATTGAATGATAAAATTTGTCCGAATCAAACTGTAGAGACGTTCCAAGAGCCCTTCAAAGCGAAAGCTTGGGCCACGAAAAACTTGGATCATTTGACCAGAAAAATATGTCCGCAGCTTCGTCACTTTGTTGTGTTCTCTTCGGTATCTTGCGGCAGAGGAAATGCCGGACAGACCAATTACGGCATGGCAAATTCCATCATGGAAAGAATTTGCGAGAAAAGAGTGCAAGAGGGTCTGCACGGACTAGCGATTCAATGGGGTGCGGTCGGCGATGTCGGCCTCGTGGCTGATATGCAAGACAACGACAAAGAAATGGTTATCGGCGGCACTTTGCAGCAAAAGATAACTTCCTGCATCTCGAAACTCGAGGACTTTTTGTTACAAAAACAGCCTATAGTGGCGAGCATGGTTGTAGCCGAGAAGCGGTTGATCACTTATGGCGCATCCAGTATTGTAGAAACTGTGGCCAATATTATGAGTAAGTTAATAACATTAAAAAAATTAGACAATTTAATTAATCAATTTATTTAAATTTGATTTCATTTGATAAAAAAGATTAATGTGTCTAATTAAATGTGATTAAAGTATTTAATATAAACTAAATAATTAAAACTAAATACAAAAAATTAATTAAATATAGATCTGAAGGACATGAGTACCGTGGCTCATCACATGCCTTTGTCCGAGCTTGGAATGGACTCGATGATGGCCGTGGAAATTAAACAAACCTTGGAAAGGGAGTATGAGATTTTCCTTACCGCGCAGGATATTCGCAATCTCAATTTCGCTAAGCTCGGCAAAATGTTCGAAAAAGATGTGAAGAACGACGAACTCACCGAGATAACAGGAATGAAATTGCTCATTCGCATATCAGGCGGAGATCAATTGATACCCGATGTTTGTATAAAGCTTCCGACGAAAGAAAGCACGACGGAAAGCGAAATATTCCTATTGCCAGGTATAGAGGGTTGTGGAAACGTCTTTGATTTGCTGGTGCCACAAATCGAAGGTTCAGCAACGTGCCTGCAATACAACACGTATAACATCGGCACAGACTTAACATCAATAAAAGATATCACTAATAGCCTTTTACAGGTAAATTCTTTACTTAATTAACAACTGGACTTCATAATGTAGAAAAAAAGAAACTAATTGTGATACAACAAAATACTGCATACCAGAATACAATGATAACAAAATAGCAGTTCGAGATATTTTTAGTACCATTTTTTCTATGCTAAGTTTTTTTTAAACTTTATTGTTTTTTATGTGTTTTCAGCACATTTTGAGCAGAGAACAAAAATTGCCACAAAATTTTGTACTAGTCGGCTATTCGTATGGATCGATAATTGCAATTGAATTAGCGCGGAAGTTCGAAGAAATGAATCTCAAAGGCCGATTGATTCTCATCGATGGAGCACCGGAGCACGTGAAGGCACTAGTTAATGCAAATTGTCCTTTCACTACGTTAGATGAATTCCAGAATAATATTCTTTTGGGTATAATGGATTTGTTTCAACCAGCAGTTAGTGGAAAGGTATATAATCATAGATGATGCTCTTAAATGATGGATTTTTCGGCAAAAATCACAAATCTAATCTTTTTAGTTCCTGTGTGAGTTAAACAAATGTACTAATACTAATTGGGACAAAAAATTGGAAATTTTCTTGAAACATGCTTCTTCGGCTTATTCACAAATAATGATTAACAAAAGAAAAGCCTTGTGCACAACAATGTACAAGCATTTGATCGGTCTTCATGAATACGATGTGACACAAGTACCGAAGATCGAATCACCTATAATACTTCTAAAACCAACGACGTATGCATTACTTTTTCCTGAAGAAGACTATGGTCTCCACAAGGTGAATAAAGTATATAAAAAAATAATTTATACAGCAGAACAGTTGTAATTAATATAAAATTACTTGCAGATTACTAAAGGAAAGATAGAAATACACTATGTTGAAGGCACTCACATGACAATAGTGGACAGTGAGAAGGTCGTTGCTGCAATTAATGGAGCAATAAATTCCATCAAACCTATTCAAAAGCATGCAAATATAATGAGTAATAATAATATGACATTTGTTCAAAATATCCGTACTAGAACATAGAAGTTAATATGCAATTTTAAATACTATATGTATACACAACATATACATTATATATACACCAAATGTATACATTTAGTTTTATAAAATTATATAAAACATAACGTTAATATATAATTGTTTCTTTTAACTATGGATATGGTAAAAATATTATAAGCAGGGATTATTTGTTTCAAGTCACAAATACAAATAAAAATAAAGTCTTGTTTCTAAAATTAACACAATTGCTTTTTTGTTTTAATATATCGTCTCCATATAGTTTAAAGCAAGTTTAGTTACAATATTAAGTTGTTTTATGATTTTATTGCCGTTCTTCGAGATATTGAAAACCACTTTAATTACATAACAAAATTTAACTCGTAACAAACTATAATCACGCAGTCCTTCGAAATATTTACGATTTGAAAATGTGTATATAAAATGAGAACGATTAAAATTTACTCTTGTCGACATACTACTAAAGGTAATTTATTCAACGTAAAATACGGAATGCTCTGTGGTCATTGATGCGTATTTGCGTATAACATCAGCAAGTAAAAAGAGGTGCAGGCAAGGATCAAAATTCTAGTAGAAACTAATATTTCACGGAAAATATATATTGCGCGTAAAAGAAACTGGCAAAAATAGAAGACATATAAATATAATATATTAAAAATAACTCTCAAAAAATCTTTTTTTTTAATTCCATTCATCTGTCATTACGTATTGATTCCTCCACCCACGCAGCGTCTGCGCAGTCTCTACCCTACTCTGACATTCTTCACCCATCCATTTGGAACATCTCATAGAATTGTCGAATCAGTGTAGCGGAGTGCGCTTGACGCGATGCTACTATGTGGTATACAACGTGCAGCGCTATCCACGTACTTCGGCACTGTCGTGCAAATTATAATCTTTTTCCTGCAAAACTCCAATATCGCGAAAGTGCTTGCATCTATGCCATCAGGAGCCGGTCGGTGTTGGTGTGATTTATTTTTTACGTAGTTCACAAGATATGAACAAATCTAAATAAAAGAATCATAAGATTCTTAAAGCAAAAATACATCTAGTGTATATTATTCTGCATCTTTAAAATTGGTGTTCAATTTGATGCTTATATTAGCTTTTAGATTAGATTTTGTTTTACTTTTGATTTAATTAAAATTTTTTTAACACTTTCTTATTTAATTCGATTTTTTATTTTTTAAAACATTAGAGAACATTGCAACTCTTTTCATTTTCTGTATAAAAATAGCTTTAATTTAATATTATTTTATCTCAGCAAGCATGAATTCTTTATATCGTTGTGCTTGTATTTAATTAAAATTAGTGCGTATATGTGCGCACCCGTATTTTATGAATCAATCGTATATTTTTACTCTATCTTGCAGTGAAATTTTTTACGCGGACGCACGTAGCGTGCGTGAATCCCCTTGTGGCAGGTAACTTATAGGTTGTTTCCACGTGCTCGATCAATTCGAAACTGTTCTTTTCAACATCGCAATACACGTGGCATGCGAAAATACAATCAGTGTGCTACGCATTCCGTAATTTCATTTCCGCACAGAGTGCGTTCTTCCGTGATCTTATTGTCAATGTGCTACCAAGCTCGCGTTAGTCGAAATTCAGCAGATTGCCAACTAGGCGCCAGTCTGAGAAACAGCTTAAATAATTCAGCGCTCTCATGCAGGTGTGCGTCAAGTAATCGATATTATTATCATGGGTTATACGCTTATGTATCTAGACATGGCACTACTATTTCGATTACGGTAAGGCAACATTGTTTTCGCTTTATCAGTTTTATTATAATTTTTTTGTATTTTGTGAAGTATTAAATTTTTACGCACATATCAATGCCATATTGTAGCAGAGAAAAATAGATTTTCTTTTTATCAAGAGTAGTTATTTTTTTATATACGTTCAAAAACGTCGCCGCAACGTTCATAATCTACGGAATGCCAACAATATAATGGAATAAACAGCGCGATGTACGGGGTTAATAGCGATCAATTTAACGCATTCTCACCATAGAAACTCCGTTTTATATCGATTTAACACTACCATCGCGTACTAAAATAACTATGATATGCCGCGTGACTCTGTGACACGCGGAACTTCAAACAATATTTCCACGTACCGGAAAGTCAAACAAACCGTGAAACTAGGTCGTCGTAACAACGCGAAAAAAAATGCGCGCAAAGAATAGATTACGGACGTGTTCGGAGCCGTGTCATAATTGATCGATAGTTCGAGCGAGTCATAAAATGTGCAGTCATAAAATTGTCTGATTCAATGTTAGCTCTTTATTCTGAACTTCGTGTCGCTTGTTGAAACAATTAACATTTTTATTTAGAAATTTCGGAGTATTCAATGTAAAACAGTCAACGTGAGACTTGAGAAGAGCATTACCCTCTAATTGCGCAAATGCTTAAAATGACACAACGAGCAACAACGGTAATTATATTTTTAGTAGTTGAAATGAAAATAGCTTTATTTACGCATGTGAATGGATTCTACAACTTTCACGAGTCTCGCTCACGTGATCGCGTGATAACAAATTTCTTTTTCTGTCCTGTATGTTGTCTTTCGTCCTTATTATAGCATTTATTATGATCTGCTCGTCCTCAGCGACGTCGTGACGTCGCCGATGAGTTACTTGCAGTTACGAATTAAGAAGAAACCAATTGTGTTGTGAGCCGTTTATGTTACGAGTTTATGTTACGTTTATGTTACGCTTTTATGAACCCTTACGAACGTAATCGTTCGTATTTGAAATAATATTACGTTTTTGAATTAGTGAACACTCGGTTACGAACTTACCAAAATAAGAGAAAGACAACGTGTTGAGATGAATACGCTTACGGCATTGGAGCAGAAAGAAAAATTGAAAGAAAGAAATCCGTCAGCATCCGAAACGAACATTGAGTTATTAAAACGGCTATTAGAAGCAGGAGTTTCGCCAGATGAGCTTCGTGCGACTGGACACACCGCAAACGAAATGTCTAATTCTTAATCCGACGAGCCTCGACAGTGGGCGGCGAGCATTCAATCTGCCGTGTCTATCCATGAGATCAAACTTTTGTGGAAAGAGAGGAACTTAGGAAAAATAGAGAAAATATTTACATCTACGTTATTGCAAAACAATATTTTTCAGAGTGTTATTAAAGTAGTAATATTTAAGAAATAGAATAACAATACTAGCAATGACATAAGCAAATGTAAATTTATGGACGTTTAAAACTTCAAGCTGGCAGCAAATGTACGCACGTGCGTAATCTATTGTAAAATACCATAGATTTGCAATCGACTGTTAACTTAAGAAAAATTGCGAGACAAGAAACAAGACTCACCCACAGCCCTGACAATTCGCGGATCGCACGAGGTCGTACGACTTAATTTGCATTATTCCTTAGTAGAGTTTGATAATTCCTGATTTTCACTTTCTCTTATTTTAGTAACTGCTAATAAAAGAAAATCTAGTCATAAATTTCGAAGTTTACGCCGACAGTAAGATAATAATTATCGATAAGTTACAATGCAAAATTTTGAATTAAAAAATCTTAAAAATAAGAATTTACATAGACATCATAGAAAATGTATTTAAAAAAGCGAAAGTGTAAGAATGGTCATTTTATAAACAATGTGTGACTTTAAATGAAGTAAAATTATCGAAAAATAATTTTGTCAATTTTTATGACAAAAACTGATTAATGTAATTTATCTCAAGAAATATAGGATGTTGTTTACGTAGCTTTGATGCTTCGGTCGCAGATTACAGTACTTTGCAACTATAGCAATTTCATGAAAGTCTGAATAAGATAATTTTAAAAATAATTTTACTACAAAGCCACACAATTTATAAGTACAATATTGATAGAAAATATTATCTACTTTAAAAACAATTTTAGAAAATAATGTATAAATTCAATATCAAAGAAAATTGTATTATAATGCTAGTTAGTTTTAATACAATGTAACTGATTAAACATCCAATTAAAGTTATGCTATAAATCAGAGATGGGAATTAGCAACTTTCGGCTCAATTTTCTGATTGACGCCTTCTGCCCCCTCCTTGCCGCTCGCTTGCTAGCAACGAGTCAAACGCGCTATCAACGCGCGTAACTAAGGTGCGCGATACTCAGCCTCACGGGAATGGTCCCATATCAACAATCACAAGTAATAAGTATGGAACAAACGATTT